ACGAACTCGACAACTGTAACCAAGAAAAAACATGATGATCACGACTTTGAAGAGAAAGCTTCGGAAAATACTAACAATGAAGTTAAATCTACAAGCCCTAAAAATATGACAGTTAAATATGACTCTCCAACTGATCCAGATACACCAAATCCTGATGGTGGAGACAGCCCTCTACCTAACGTCTCTGCAACTCCAAGGCAAAGGAGAACTAGCACTGGCAGTTCTGTATCTGAAAGATCTTCTTTCAGTCAAGATTTGGACTCACCAAGACATCAAATGTCACATACGTCGCCTCTATTGCGATCACCAGCGTCACCCAGGACAGACGACTTCCAAAAAATAACATATCCCATAATAAATGGTACCATCCGTGCCGGATTTTATCAAGATACTACATCTATTAAAAGTAGCCCTGAGAAAAGCTGCAGTCCACGTGAAGCTCCACAATCTCCATACTCTCCTTATTCTTCTCATGTGTATGCTTCGAATAACGTCATGGGTTCTGCAACTCCCAATTATTTTGTCGATCATAATAAGAGCCCACTTCCATCATATAGCCAAAATCCACCCCCATATTATGATACATCAAAAGTACCAATGGTCAACAAACCAGTTAGAGTTCATGATGATTACACATCATTGGGTCCTGACTCATATCCACAAAATCAATATACGGGTCCATTTTCGCCAGCACATCCGCCATACCCTCAAAATCAACCAAATCATGCACAGCCACAGAATTCTCCTCAACCAATCCCTCCTAGCCAGACCTCACAGCCTAGCACTGCACAAATACTTCCAGACCCTAAAAATTCACTATTCCCTGTTAAAAAACGAGCATACAATGAACCAGACCTTACTATGACAGCTGCAACGAAAATTGCTGAGGCAAAAGATCTTCCAGCTCCAGCACAGAACAAAACCGATTACCAAAAAATTGGTCCATCTCTTCACTCAATGTCATCTTTACCTACGCCATCAGTTGATGACATTGCTTTGGCTCTGAGTGAGAAGTCTGAAATGGCAAAAATAAACAGTTTACGTGAAAAGAGCGCAGTAAACTATACTGAACGACATGGTGTCGAAAATAGAGACGTATCATACAACGCAGAACCTATTCATCATGAGAATAAAAAAGATTTACCATCTATGGAAGTAAATAAACCCATTGCTATAACTAATAAAAAAGATGGTATAGATATGGTTAATATGGGATACATGAACTCTGATCACGACAGAAGGAATGTTGCAGAAACTCATGAAGTAGATTTTAGCATGAACAGAGAGTTGAGCAAAGGAGCACACGCACCACAACAAAAAGGATATGAAGTGGAAGCGATTGCAATCAACCTCGGGTTGAATAGCCAGCAACACCCAAAACTGAATTCAAAACCGAACATTACGAATATTCACTCAAATAATATCCCACCAGCACATTCACAAGCCCATAATGAAATGCTGAATCAGACAGTGGCTCATGCACATCACAACCAATATGATGTTATCAGCGGACAATCAATTGGAAACTTCTCTCTGAATGACATAGAACTGGCTAACAAGAAGCTGTATGCGTGCAACGCTACTCCATCGCCTGCTGCATTGGACTATGGCAACTGGAAAATGTCCAACCAAATGAGGAAGCAAGATTTATTGCCATCAGATTATGCAACCAATTACAGCACCAACAATTCAGATAAACTAAAACAAGACACAGGAAACTCCAATACAAATGCTATCAACTATAATAAAAATGTGCAGCAGCCTTATAACAACTATGGTGTGCCTAGAACAACCATGCAAAGGACACAAGACTTACAACAAAGCCTCCCATCTGAGCTAAGAATACCTAATCCAAGAGGTCACCTAAAGAATGACCATGGAACCAATGACAATGAGATGGTGCCTAAAGCAAATGATCTTGTTAAAACACAAAAAGCTGAAAAACTGGTGCAGAATCATCCGTTAGTTGGTTCCTTGCCATACAAAACACCATACAGTACTCACTCTGCTCTGCCTCTGGAAAGTCTGCGCAATTTGCCAAAAATTCCTCAAATGTTGGATAGATATACAAATGAAGAAAGATACCTATCAAGCTTTGCTGGAAGCACTTCAGCATTATACCATGACAAAACTTTCCAAATGGCACAAATGTTCAACAAAAGCATATCTTCAGATGTACATCCTACTACATCAGTAAACATTTACTCTCAACCTGCCATATCAATAAGTAAAGACAATAGTATCTACAAATCATCAGGTACTGTGACTTCTCAACCAGAGACTAAATCAAAGGCCAAGAGAAAGAGGACGTCGGAAACGAAGGCTCATATTAGCTCCCAGAGTTATCACCCATCACCTTGCAGTACCGATGTGTTGTCTTCTGTCAAGTCTAGCATTTTGCCAGGCAGTGCTTTCAATTTCGGATCAACTGCAAATATGGCTCTTGGTGGTGGACTCTATGGCGATAATACCGGCTTCTCGATTGAAGATTTCCGGAACAGCACAGCCAATCAGTTGATGGCGGCGAATTATATGGCAGCTGCGGTGGCTCATCAGCAAAGAAACAATGCAGAATCTAGCGCAGATAAATTGGTGAAACCGGCTCATCAGAACTCGACACACGCGGCTGGGACGTTCCCTTTCATCGGACACTCGCAGGTGCGTGCAGGATACCCGTTCGTGGGCGCGGAGCCGTCGTCGCCGCTGTACCAGCAGTACCTGCAGCGACACCAGGAGGAGCTGCTGCGGCAGACGGGCGCGCAGATCATGGGGCTGTACCCGCCGGGCTACCCGGCCGGCCTCGGCGTACGGCAACCTTACGACTCCATTAATCGACCTTCGTGGCTCTAAGAATGTTAGCGTTAACTTTACATTGTGAAACCTTATTATAATCATAAATGTGACATTATTGTTATAGGAAATTGTAATTTATATTGTTTGTAGATTTGAGATGATAGCATTTTGAGAAGATATTTTATGGATATTTCTTATTTACGTTATAAACGCAGTTAATCGTTTACATGACAAGTTTATCTTTGCTAAACTAATTTTATTGTCTATCTGCTTTTGTCTTTCACATCACAGTAACCTACGAGACTGCTTCCATTTAATAGTTTAACTTGACTGTCCTTAAATTATAACTTTCGTGACTAACATTTATCTATACAACTAATAGTGAACAAAAACCCTCCACAATATTGTTGTTTTTTTTTTCTAATTATATTTAGTTAGAATAGCTAGCTACCTTCATATACTCAAATTCACATCTGAAATTAGAAGCAGTGTTTGCAATATCAATATATGAATATTATATTATAATGATATAAAGAAATTATTTAATTATTATCAATTATCAATATAACGACGCTTGTAAGCTTTTAGCTTTAATTTTCTTGACATATTTTTTTTACGTTAAGGTCACATGAAGTTGTATTTGTTATATTATAATTAAGTAAATTTTATTTTTAATTATACTACTTAATTTAGACTGTTGTGTAAATACTTCAATATTTTGTTTTAGTAACAATGTTTTAGCTATTTTAAGTATAATATTTTGTTAAGTGACATTTTAATTTCAAATTAATATTATTATTCATGAACATAGTATTAAGAAATTCATATTATAAGAAACATTAAAACAATTCTTCTTGTGTAAAAATGAAAATAAAGATTTTCGACATAAATTGGGTGTTTAGATAAATAACCACATCTTCTGTACAATATTAACTTATGGACCAAGAGCCAGTGAAAGCCAGATTTAATAAAAGTTGAAAGGTCGTCAGCGCATGGGCTTATTCCACTATTCCCCGTTGACAATCCCCATCAATGGGGATTAGTGAACTTTTTGTTTACCTACTAATCCCTGTTAACGCCAATTGGAGCTTATAATGAGGATTAATGAACTAAAAAGTTCATAAATCCCCATTACGTTAAAAATAAAATCATAATATAACAGAGATTAATGAACTTTTTAGTTGGGGATTGTCAACGGGGAATATTGGAATAAGTCAGCGCATACTGCCAACGTAGGTTGTAGTAAGAATGATAGTAACACCACAGTAACACGGGCAATAAAGGGGTTAGAAGAACGAAAGGTAAAAACGTTGGACCATCATGAAGTTTGGGTTATCGTGGCCTTGGCATCTTCCCTAAAATGTTTGTTTGGCAAGGGAATAAGGGCTTGAACGGTCTAAACTGTCTCATGAGGAAACATCTAATTACTGCTGAAATATAAAAATCAGGTTTTATGCATTGAGTTATAATGTACTACGTAGTAATATTACTTCAATGGTTTTATGGTGATAACATAAGCCTAGAGTTTTACGGTATATTCAAGACTGTAAGTCTACTTTATAGGAACACTGCACAGTGCATTAAAACTTATAGGTAAACCAATCTTTGCACTGGCTGCGAAATTTTTGAAATGAATGCAATGAAAATTATGTATCTTTTTCTTTATACAAGGAAATACTTTCACTGAAACAAAGATCCTTGAAAAACAAATAATAATAATTCAAATAAACCACTGGAAGTTAAATTTGAATCCTCACTCCCCATTATTATGAAAGAGAACTTCTAAATCAGCGGTTGCACATCTGTGATAAGATGCGATTTGAACGACAATGACATAAGTTGTTGTACCTAGGTAGGAGTCAACCAAGATGGTAGGTAGGCGCAATCAGCACCCAAAGGTATTTTGGAAACAGATTTTCTTGTAGTAAATAAGTTTAATGTTGATTACTTCATTCAACTCCACACAAAATAGTGAATTCTTCTTAGGTTTACACCTAATTTATAATTGTCCTCAAAAGAACTCTTGCCATCATGCCTTTACTTGACTATTTCGCCTAGTAATAATAATACTGAATCTCATGTTGATAGCCCAATAAAATAAATAAATAAAACTCTACTGGGTAAAAGAATATACCTTACATTTTGTAAATAGATTAAAAACATTTTCGGGATGTATTTTTCATTATATTAGGTAAATAAGAGAGTAATTTCCTTACCACATAGTTTAATTCTTTTAATACAAAATTGCAAGCATGTACATACAGTGTACCTACAGTTTATTATATAAATTTCAATGCAAATAAATTAGTTTAATACATCAAGCCTGCATTAAAATAACATAATGAGAACATTGATTAATATTAGAAAGAAGCTTAATAAATTGTGGTTATCGGAAACCAAATTAATTTGGTTTTTCACCCTGCTCCAGTTCTTTTCGCTGCTGGACCATTTCTCTAATATTATCTTGACTTTCTTTCAAGTTTTTCTCCAGATACTGTTTGGACTTCTCTAGTTCTGCCCTTCGTGATAACAATTGTGCTTCACGATTCTTGAGATTAGTTTTAACTTCCTCCAAATCAGTCAGGAGAAACATTCTGCCAATAGACTCGTAAGTTTTGGTGCCGGCAGGTAACGCGTTGATCTCCCCCTTGGTTAAATCAAGATGAGTTACGACTCTTTTCAGTACAGCAATTTGAGAATCTATTAGTTTAGTCTTCTTACTTGTCTCAACCATCTTCACTAATGCTTTTTGAAGTTCTGCGTCCGCTGGCTTAGCCATTTTGGGCAAAATATCAAGATACTTAATTAGATTTTCAGAAATTAAAACAGATTTTTTATCAAAAGCTACTGGAGATGTAGGTTATGATCAGCCACAGACAATGAAATAAAATGAAGGAAGGAGGAACTGTCACCTGTCAACAACAGTGACTGTCAGACTTTTTACTTTTTAAATCTTTCTTCTTCTTTTTTTGATGTTGGCAATACACATCGAGGCCGACTTGATGTGTGCCATTTTAAAGTTTCAAGTGAGACGAGTTGCAAAATGGGACCAAGTGGGAATGTGGGATGGGAATTGGGTTACATAATTAAAATTAAATGATAATAAATGAAGGATGATAAATGATACCCTTTGCCACCCTTTGAGTCTCAATAAAGTTGTGGTTCTTTACTGAGACTTCATATGGACTACTTGAGAGAATCCAAAGAATCACGCTGCACTGATTTGTTTCATTTGACTCATGCACGTTCACGAACACTTAATAGTTAATAATCCACCATTTACACAATAATAGTCGTATAAACATGAATTTCAGACATTAAAACAAAACTGCGACGCTTCACATTCCCGCAATGGTCTGGTGCCCCCGTACCCCCACCCTCCCTTAAATCCTCTCTTCGAGTCTTATCTCATTGTGATAACTGTGTAGATATGTGGCCCCTGCTTCGCACAGGTACAATGTTTATGTACCTATTTAAAAACCTTCCTCTTGCACTCTATCTATTAGAAAAACCGCATCAAAATCCGTTGCGTAGTTTTAAAGAACTAAGCAAACATAAAATGTTATAGGGACAGACAGAGCGAAGCTCAGACCGACTTTGGTTAATAATAATTGTGGTATTTAAAAAAAAAAAATTCGCCGCTGT